AAAATTTTCAACCAAAGCACCAGAACTGATGTTGTCATGTGTACTGCTATGATTTCAGGGCTCGGTCTCAATGGGATGAATAATAATGCACTGGAAATTTTTATATGGTTACTTAAAGAGAAAATGCGACCGAATTCTCTAACCTTGGCAAGTGTTTTACCAGCTTGTGCTGGTTTGGTTGCTCTGAAATTGGGAAAGGAATTGCATGGAAACATCCTCAAGCATGGGCTTGACGGAAGGCTCCATCTGGGAAGTGCGCTTACAGACATGTATGCAAAATCTGGAAGATTGGATCTTGCTCATCAAGTTTTTGAAAGAATGTTTGAAAGGGACACCATTTGTTGGAACTCAATGATAACAAGCTATTCCCAGAATGGCAAGCCAGAAGAGGCCATTGATATATTTCGTCAAATGGGGATGGCAGGTGCCAAGTATGACTGTGTAAGCATTTCAGCTGCTCTTTCTGCTTGTGGAAACTTACCGGCACTTCATTATGGGAAAGAGATTCATGGTTTCATGATTAGAAGTGCATTTAGGTCTGATCTGTTTGCTGAGAGTGCACTGATAGACGTGTATGCCAAATGTGGAAACTTAGTTCTTGCTCGCCGTGTGTTTGACATGATGGAAGAGAAGAATGAAGTTTCCTGGAACAGCATTATTTCTGCTTATGGGAGTCGCGGTTGCCTTCAGGACTCTCTTGTCCTGTTTCGTGAAATGTTGGGTAATGGGATCCTGCCTGATCATGTCACCTTTCTTGGTATATTATCTGCTTGTGGCCATGCAGGCCAAGTTGATGATGGAATTTTCTACTTCCGTTGCATGATTGAGGAATATGGGATCCCAGCTAGGTTGGAGCATTATGCTTGCATGGTAGATCTATTTGGGCGTGCTGGACGTTTAAGTGAAGCATTTGAAACAATAAAGAGCATGCCATTCTCCCCAGATTCTGTTGTCTGGGGAACATTGCTTGGAGCTTGTCGGGTCCATGGCAATGTTGAGCTTGCTGAAGAGGCATCATGACATCTTTTTGACGTAGAACCACAAAATTCTGGGTATTATATACTACTCTCAAATATACATGCTGATGCTGGAAAATGGGGGAGTGTGCTTAAGGTTAGAAGTTTGATGAAGGAAAGAGGAGTTCAGAAGGTTCCTGGGTACAGTTGGATCGAGGTTAACAACAGAACTCATATGTTTGTTGCAGCAGATGGAAGTCACCCACAGTCTGCTCAGATATATTCAATGCTCAAGAGTCTTCTTCTTGAACTGAGAAAAGAGGGTTATAATCCTCAACCCTATCTTCCTACACATCCACAAACATCGGGGATGTAATTACTGGAAAGTTTCATTGTCTCCTCTAATCCTAGCAACTTCAGGATTAGGATGGTGCTGGCTCTGTGAATTATGGTAAGTCAGGGAATGAAAGGTTGTTGAACTATTCTATTTTACCAATTGCTAGATACATTTTTTATTTGCGTACTCGGATCTGCAGTTGTCACCTGTAATGAATGAAGCTTAAAGTTTTTGTCATCTGCTTTCTTGCATTGGTTGGAAGCACAACAGTGAAAGTTAGATGAATCAAAAGTTCTTCCTATACAAAACTCCAAAGCTAGATGTGCTTTGGTGAGAATAAACAAATATCAGTTCTTATCAACAAAGAAGTAAACTAAGATCGCTGGCCTCTTAACCTGTCTGTTGCCCCTCTCATTTTATATTTTATAAAGGATAATCTTTCCTTGATATTGCACATTTGATTTCTTGCTTCAGTGCATTATATAGGACAGAGATACTAGTGCATCAAAAAAAATTTATTTTTATTTTCTGGCCAGGGAACATGAAATGAATTGTTGTGAAACTGTATGCTGTTTTGTTTTTCCTTTCTTGACATTTTAATTAGAGTTTTAGAGAGAAAAAAGCTTTAATCATTTTAACTTAAAGTGTGTAATTATACATAGCTAACTTAAAGTGTGTAATTAGACATTAATCCTTTTTTTTTTTCTTCTTTGTATCATTCTATAGAACCAGATTAATTGTTGGAAATCATTGGAACTGATCAAGTTGGGCTTGATCTGCTAGGTTTCCAAGAACCTAAGCCCTAAGTTTATTTATTTTAGTTTATTTTAATTTTATATTGTGGTCAGTCTTATCATATACCCATTTTTCTTGTAGTTACAGTTGTTCCAGCTTGGGCAGATGTATTATATTTATTCCTATGGCTTAGGTAAGATATAATTGCAAGATTGTAGCTTTTGGTCTGAAAATTACTATGTTAATTTTAAGGCATATAAGTCTCTGAGGTTTGAACCCTTTGCTCTCTTTCATTTAGGCATCTTCAGCTATAAGATTAGAGCTTCAAGTAGGTTTCTGTATTTTGTTAACCCTTCCTTTTGCGTTATGTGAGAATCTCTGGAAGTGGTCATTGTTTTGTGGAGTGGAAAGATTGGTTTGTTTTGCAGGAGAGGAGGCAAATATGTGGTCAAAAATTTCTTGAAGGATTGTGCTGGAGAATCCATTTGTAGTTGTGGGTACTGAGATGAGTGTTCGACACATGATCTATATCGTTGCGGAGGGATTTTTGGAAGTGCACAGAAAGGAAAGCTTCCTAATATTGTTTAAGAATGTACGTTTACGTTTGCGGTTTTCTGT